AAGGGGAAGATCAGGTTGGAATTTGCATCAGTATTTAGTCTCCATTCTGCAAAGGGGAAGATCAGGTTGGAATTTGCATCAGTATTTAGTCTCCATTCTCAGATTTTCCCAGTCTGAGAATCTGAGCAACAAAAAAAATAAAATAAAATCCCCAAGATAAAATTAGTTTTATTGTTAAATCTGAGAGCACCTTGGAAGGATTCAGTATGCTTTGGGTCTCTTGGGCAGGGGCCAGGGAAATGACTGACTGGTCTGCTCCAGACTCCACACATCTGCCTATGATGGTGGTTAGAAGACAGAGAAAGAAGACGGAGGGAGAGAGAGAGGGAATGTGTTTGGGGGCACAATTCAGCAATTCATCATGTTTTCTCCTCTTCATCATGTTTTGTTCAAACCATACCGGATGTGACTGTCTTAAGCCTGGAAATGGATCACCCAGTTATGGGAAAGCAGGCATGAGGGTGGTTTGGAGGCTGTGATATTCGGCAATACTGAGGAAGAAGAGCCACCACCCCATCTAGCAAAACCCTCACAGATCCTGCACAAGCTCGGCAGAACTTTCTCCCAAGCCTTGCACCCAGTGGCATCAACACAGAAGCAGCTTTCCAATGCTTTCTTGGTTTTCAGTACATTATCTTTTAGGAATTTCCAAGCTCATGGTCAATCCCAGTCAGCCTATATGTGAAAAAGGCCTGCCTTAGTCATCTATGCTTGGCCCTCCTCCTCACTCCACAACACCCCCTCCATCAGCACACACATACACACACTTATTTCCAAGGTTTTATTGAATTCTACATCTCTGGCTAAGGTGGCCCTTGTGACAAAACAAGAACCAAATGTGGCTGTTGACTGCTTGGTGGCTGCTCACTGGAGAATGTATCAGCGGGAGTTTCAGGTCACACCAGAGGACCTGCGGAAGCCACAGCTGTCTTCCTGCTTGCTCAGCCAGCTGCTCCTGCCATTTAGAAAGTTTGGACTTGACCTTATCGGGGTGTAAAGTACAAGCAAGAGTCTAGCTTGGCAATGACGTCATTCCAACTTAGTCCTAGACTTCACATTTAGTCCTAGGCATTTATAGTTGCAGAAAAGAAAATGGGTCAGCAAGTCTGGCCTTATAAAGGAAAGTGAGATTTCAGGGCTTTGCCACAGAGATACACACTGTCATAATTAGGCAGGGTATTTAAGCAGAGTTTCTCAGAGATGTTCGTACTAATGCTTAAAAACTGCCATATTGATGTACTTGTTGCTACAGCACTTAAAAATAAGAATGAAATGAATGTACTGGTATGAGATGATACCCAAGATATATGTGAAAGTGAGAAAGTACATTTCTGGATGGCATGTGAAGTTGTGTCCCAGTCTTCAAAATCAAAGCAAATCATACACACACCCTCTACATGCTCTCACATATACTTAAGGAAAAAATTCTGTAGTGATATTTGTTAACCTGAACTTGCCCTTAGAAGACTAGTAATAGAAGAGATGAATAGAAGAAATGAGGAAGAGGGGTGAGACTTTTGTTTTTCATCTTCTACCTTTCAGCATTATTTGAATGTATTTACTTAAAGTACATATGTTGTTTCTTAAGTAGAAATGCAAGAGAAACAGCTATTTAATGAAAAAAATTGTGACTCTGTGAACCCTCTGGCTTGACCAGTCAGGGCCTGGTGCCTTCTGATGACCACAGTCCATATTAAGTTCAGCAGTGGCCTTTCTCAGGAAACAGGTCCCATCCCCCGTTTACCGGCCCTGGTTAGAAGTGCTCATAGTTTCTGAAAACTGTAAGGCCGAAATACCCAAAGATGAAACAGCCCTCTCACTGTTCCTGCTCTCCGCTTCCTTCTTGTTATTTGCACCTTGGCTGGCTTTGAAATTGGCATTTGGCATAAATATTTGAAGAGATGGAGACCCTGTTGGTTGTTTTAGGGTCTTTACTCTGCCATCCTGATGCCCAAGCCAGAGCCCTCCCCTGGTATCATCTCTAGATGTTTTGTATAAGGAGCAACAGACGTATTCTGATCTAACAAAATCGGATCTGGTAACAAAAATTACAAAATCCTCATTTTCTTCTCATATTTCTTTTATTCTTAATATGTGCCAAACACTCTTTCAAGGAGAGAGTAACTGGAGGACTAGGAAGCAGGGTCTGGGGTGTTGACAAAAAACCAGAAGGCCCATGACACAAGTCTTCCTTGAAAGGGAAAAGGTTCTTGTTTGAAGAATTTAATTTGGTCTAGAATTTAATTTGCATACACTTAGAAAAGAAAATGCTACTTCTAAAACACTAATCATACTTGTTATGTATTTTAAATATGGATTATTCTGAGCAGTGGTGAGAGCATTTAAGGAATAGAGCCTTTTTACTAAAGATCTGAAGATGCTTCTTCTCCTCCTTGGACTTTTATTTTTCCTTTTCCAATTGTAACCAGATACATTATTTTATTTCATTTCACTTCTAAAATTGTGGGAAGTGATAATTATGAAATAGGGATGTCCATTTAGCCAAATATGAGGACAATCTGAGGAAATCACTCTCTTTTCCCATAAAACTACTCAATGTTATGGTCTGTCCAGGAAAAGAAAAAAAGTTTTTTCCTTCTTAGTTGGACTCTCGGAAGTTATCACCTATATAGGTTAAAAAAAAGTTCCAATATCAGCAATCTCATAAGGGATCAATCTAAAATATGTGAAATATTTACTTAAAAAGCAGAAATGCTTTATAGTTGACCTTTCTTTTTTTCCAAACTGTCTGGTTCTTTCTCTCCTGGGACTTATTCTAAATGTAGATTGAACCCGAGTTGAAAGGGTCTTAAGGATAGCAGACCTTTAATAAATGTTTATCAACCTGCATTCATTTATTTGGAGAAATGCTATTAAGTAGCCTTGGAGGAGGTTCTGTCTAAAGCAAGTCAACCAATTCTAGCTAATTCTTCGGTAAGGTATTGTTTTTCTTTCTCTCTTTTTTCTTTGGCAATCTTTCCAAAATAGGTTTTATGCATATGCATCACTTTTTTTTATTCGTTTCTGAAGAAAGAAACAGACAGTGGGAGAGTGTGGGAGCCCTGATCCCATATCAGTTTCCCTCCTCTGCCCAACAATAGGATCTGAGACAGTTCTCTTTGCTTCCTGGGCCATAAAATAGGGAGATAGTGTCATCCACAAAATGGGGACTTGAATCAGTTCATCTTTAAAGTAGCTGTTTGTTAATGTTACTTGTAACGTTAGGGAACATGGAAACAAGAAATAGGTTCTGTTGACACACACAGTAATGCTTAGGGGAATGAGGCTCATCTACAGTAATGTATCAATGGGAGTATTTTCTCTAGTTAGCCATGGTAACTAAACTGAAAGGTGATGCATATAAACCTTTGACTCTGCTTTATATTTACACTAAACTTTAACTTTACAAGATCCAATGAAGAAGTCACAGTTGCCATCTTCATTTTGCAGAGATTCAGTACATTTCTGTGTCTGCACAACAGTCTCACTGGGAACTACAAGTGGCTCTGGAGTGCAAACCTAACGGGGACCCTGAGTGCAAGCTTATCCACTCTTCTATAGAATTGAAATTCTATATTCTGAGTTTTATTCACCCCCAGGAATTATGTTCATCTGGGTAATTAAATCTCGTGCAAATAGGAGATTGCCTGAGTTATAATCTACTTGAGAAATTATTTCCCTGCTGTTGACAACTGATTATACAGTTTTCTTATCTAATTTGCCCCAAGAAACTTTTCATAGGTAATGTTTTATTTGAAACATTCACAATAGGTGAATTACAATAAATTGATAAGAAGTTTCTTTCATTTTTCTAAATAAATGCAATCATAGTATTCCTCTTGAATTACTCAGCTTAAATATTTGATTTCTTAATGACTACTTTGTGTGTTTGTATATCATTATATATGCCCTTAAAAAAAATATGACCATTGATGCTGTACATAGCTTATGCTCCTGTGCCATGTTACCATTTACAAAGTAACACAAAAGTTTCTTTAGCATATTAGCAATCACATCCATCTTGAATTTTCTTCACAGTAACCGTGTCAGCTAAGCCAAAATCATGTTTTTAAGCCTCATTCTACCCTTAAAGGTAGAATCTTCAAGAGGTGAATTATTCGAGGCTTCTGTTAGTCTTCCATTTTGATCAAACGAAAATCTACCCCAAGTCAATTAATTTCTAGACACGGTTTGTTAAAATTTGGGGTGTGTTGACTTGATCTAATAATTTATAAAAGTATTTGTTAATTTCTCTGTTATTTTACATTTTAAATAGTTAAACTAAACTTAGTGGGAAAAAAAATGTGACTGGTTGCCAGAGGGAAGAAGGAATAGATAATGGAGGGGGAGAGAAGCAGATAGGGCCTCGGCACAGGGGCTCTAGTGGAGGGTGTTGGGAGGAGCAGAAATGTCACCCCAGCAATCACCAATACTAGAGCCTCTGTTTAAATTTAATTCTGACTCCTTCAAAATGGATGTGTGCATCCTAGAAAACCCTACTTCTTTCATAAATGCTTTTGTGAAATATAAGCAAAGTTAAAGAATTAAAAATAAAAATTAAAATCAAAATCAAAATAACTTAAAAAGTAAAAATTAAAAAAATGAATTTGTTTAAAATCAGCATGTAAAAGCATTTTTGCCTATCATGAAAAATTTGACAAAGTGGTGCATTTCATAGTGGAAATTTCCATCAATGAAAGTATCCAAGTCACTGGGTACAAAGACTCATGGAGGTGATTAAGGTCTCAGCAGCCACTACTCAGTCTTTGGGGGGCTTTTAGGCAAATCAGATGACCTCTTAAGAACTATCACTGAGTGACTACAAGTCAAGGTTGATTTCAAACAGAGCTCTGGGAGAGCACGGGAATAGATCTAACTTTGCTCTCTTCCAGTTCTGACTTTTTACTAGACACTACTGTACATGCCAAGACTGATTTTCTATTCTCCCTTCACCCCATGTGTTTCTTCTGCATAGGAAGTTCCTATTGATCAATCTGACCCATGGTATTTTAGAATCATGATCCCCACTGTTTTCATTATTCCTTTTTCGCCCCCATGTAGGAAACAATAAAAGTACTGAGAAATGAGATGAGGGACACTGGTGAGCTAGCATTTAGTTCAGGGCAATCCTACTCAACTGACAGAATTGTTAAGAAGCATACTGTCTATTAAATGTATCCCTAACAACTTGTAGTTGTGTCTTCTCTAGTAAATGGATCATTTAAAGTAATCAAGAGTTATTATGATGTATTACAGGGGGAAATGGCATTTTTTCATGTTTCTTTTTGATCCTCCTTTAGGTCCAGTGCTCCTTACCATCTGAGTGGGTCCCAGAGCATGACAGAGTAGTCTGACATCATCATCAGGAAGCGCCTAATAAGAAAGTACTTAATAAAGCTTAGTGTCAGTCTCACACTCCCACCTCATAACAGTGACAGCTGGGTAGTCACAAAGACACACATGCACACCCCAAATTTTATGAACATGTAATCAATAAACTGTGCACAAGGTGAGGAGTCACCTGTCAGTTCTGCAGTTATTCTGCAGGGAATCTATAAGAAGTGTGTGGCCTGGGCCCTTGGGTCTCCCAGTTTCCCTACCTTGTAGCATCCTCACATAGAAGACTACTTTTATGAAGTAAAGCTCTGTGTAAGATTACTCTTGCAGAAAAGAAAAAGATTGTTCTGTCTCCTTGAAATATGAAAAACTTTACTGTAGGCAACCATAGAAAATAAGAATTGTCAAAAGGCCATATATACCTCTTTTTTCCCTTTTGAATTTACCCCATTTATGAAATAGATGAAAAATAACATGGAGGCATTTACCTATTTTTACTTTTAAAGTTTTCTATTTATAACATTGAAAATATTATAAATATTCTGACATATATAAAATATGTCAAAAGTATTTACATATTTACAAAGATATTTACAAGCATATTTACTAGACTAGTTCAACAATCAATTTCTCTCAGGCCTATTGCTTTTCCTTGAGAAATTCTTATAACCCTGCCTCATTTTTAGCTATTCACCTGGTATCAGCTCTCCAAATGTACCCAAAAATGCTCTTTCTGAAAATATGCCAATTGTAACTGCAGCTAAGCTGGAATATTAAATTGTGATGTGTTTCATAGAGAATGCCATCATATTCCCCAAAGCTTCACCTTGGTGCCTGTGCAGGTTCTATTTTAAAGTTTTCCAGTAAGAGGCCTTAGTACGTTGGGGATGCTTGCACTAGTCTTGCCAGACTTCTGATGTGTTAGTGTTGCTCTTGCGGTGGTTGTTTCAAACAAACACCCAATCATGGTTTGTGGACACTTTAACACTTTCTCACTTGTACACTCTCCCACAAGTCTGGGTTTTTCCATGTGGGTAAGTCAACCCAGCAAGCAGGCAGGCAGCCTCCAGAGTTTCCCGTTTCTGTTCACCTTCTTTTCATATCTTCATCTCAACTGTCCTCCACAATAGTTCATATGGATTACTTAGCATCAGTTTGGGCCTCACCAAATGTTTCTTGCATGTGGTTTATGTCTCCTAACTCAATTTTAAGTTAAGTCTAGAAGGTTAGAAGATATAGAGGTTTCAGTTTCAAAAGAAAAGGTCATTTTTCACTACTCATGGTTTCCCAGTGTTCAATCCCTGGGGACAGGAGTGTGGTCCCTAATGCTAACTCCTCTATTTAAACTTAAATCTAGTTCATTCAAAATGGGTGGGGAAATCCTAGAAAAACCCACTTTGTTGGTAAATCTTTTTGTGAAATATAAGCAAATTTTTCAATTGTGTGGATTCTATTTTGTTCTCAAAGATAAGAATTTGCTTTAGCAAACTTTTTCTGTGTGTGAGCAAGGAAACCTGTCCACATAGGCATGAAATTCCCCATTCATTCTACTTCCAAGCTCTTCTCTCCCACCAATTTGAAGCAAATTAGGCAAAACAATATTTTGTTCTTGAAAAGAAAGTGAGCAAAATGGATAGGCTATGCAGTTTGGAGACCTAAAAAGCAATCTAATATGGGGATTTGGTGCAGCAGACAGGTGAGGAGGGTAAATTAGAACAGTCTTGTAGGAAAAAAAATTGGTATGACTTATAAAGATGGCTTTCAGTTCAGCCTTAGGATTTCTGAAGAGATAGCCAATGGTGACTATTACAAATATGTGCAAATTAGTTGTTAGGAAGTTCTGATGGCATACTTTAGTTATAAGAAGAAGAAAGGTTGAAAATAATACAGGTTCAATAATCAAAGAAGGAATTAGTCCATCTGAGTATACACATAAAATAAACTGTTACAAACCATTACAAATTAGGTAGTATCAGTATTGCCATGGGCATGGCAAGGGATTAATGAGTAAGTCTGAAAATTATTTTGACGAAGAAACTATATCATCACATATTATCTATGATATATATTTATCTATGTAAATATATGTGTATGTGTAGACACACACTTATGCCCTAATTTTAATAGTGTCAACCTCTATGATTACAAGTGGTTTCAATTTTCTTTTTCTTTTCACCAAACTTCCCCACTTTTTAAAACTAGAATATTATCGTGACGATGATATTCTTTTATGAAAAAATAACATTCTTTTTAGTTTCTACAAAGATATGGTGACTCAGTAACTGCCTTTGCGTGGAGCTCCCATAATCCAAGCCAAGGCGGCCTCCGTGCTGACTGTCCTTAGTGACCAGGCCCCTGCCTCCATGATTCAAAGTCCTACTTGTCTCCTCAGGGAAGGAAAGTCCTCCAGTAAGTGACACTCCAGATGATGGCGATGAGCCCATGCCTGTCCCTGAAGACCTCTCCACCACATCTGGAGGACAGCAGAACTCCAAGAGTGAGAGAGGAGTGGGTGAGTCAGATCTGTCTGGCATCTAACTCGCAGGTCATGGCATGCTGTTTCTGTGAAACCTTTGTCTCTTTGGCCTTCATAGACAGTGCTCACATTCTCTTTGTTGTTTGCAGTAGATGGAATAGATCAGCCCTCTTGTTCAGAAGAGGAGAGACACTCTCAGGCCACCATGGTAGGAAACCCACCTAGAGAGCACAGCTAGATGAGGAACATGCTGCCATAGGTGTCACCACTCATGCTGTCTTCTGTCCTGAGTGTGCTGGTAGGAATACCAGCATGTATGGAATGTTGCAAACAGAAATGAAACATCGAATTTGTAATAGCAATAAGACTATTTATCTTTAGATTAGATGTTTGGGCTAGAAGGAGCCAAGTTTGGCCAGTGTCATCTCTGTTTCTTTAATGAAAAATTTAACTGAGAATTGAAAATGTGACAAATGGAAATTTGGAATGTGAACAGTGATTCCAAGATGATCTCAGTATATGTTTACACACTTTTTCCATAAAGTGATGCTTATGGAAATACTTACAACCTCTTCTCTGGTCAACTAACACATACTACAATTCCCACTGAGAAAACTTAGTCTTGAGGGTAAGAAAACAGTAGTCCAGAGAACTCTTGTGAATTAACCAAGGTTAAATAACAGAGTCAGAAGTAGACTCATTTTCACTCCATTATAGTCTGTTCCCATAGCCTAATCAGTCATCGGTTTCTTGGAATGTCACCTTTTTTTAGAGAAAGAAAAAAAATGGTACTGAGAGCCATATATTCGCACAAAGAATATTATAAAAATAAGCATGTAGAAATGAGGCAGAATATGCCTATGTAGATTAGTTTCAGTAAAGGGGGGCAACGTTTGCAAGGTTGTCTGGGTCCTAAAATCCACCACACTGTCTTCCTAGTGGACAGGCTGTGACACAACTTGATGCATTTGTGGCTTACATGATCTTAAAAACCTAGCAGATTTGGGGGTCTGATGGTTCTTTTTTTAATGTAACTATACAATTAATTATGCAAACAGAGAAGGTTAGTGGCTAAACTAGTGGTGTAGATAAAACTACAAAACAAGTGTATTTGTGAATTTGTTTTACATTTGTGGGAAAGTAGATGGGACAAGAAAAAGCATTGGTGGGTTCTCTGCTCTGTTCTACACCTAACACTTTAGGGTTTCCCAAAATTGGGATGTGGAAGAGCATACTTTGTTGTTACTGATACATTATTTTTGAGATGGTCTTCTGTCTTCTGTCACTGATACTATTTCATCATATGCCATATAGTACTGCACAGGTTTCTTTCAAAACACATTTACATAAATTAAAAAATCAATTTAAATGAAAATACTTAGACAGTGATGGTGCAAATATAATGAAGGTTTGCAGAAATGACATAGGAATAGTTAATTTTGGGGTGACCCTGTATTGTCTCATTTGTTCTGCCCCTGATATGGTGCTATGCTTTGAACTTCACACACAAGCAAACAGCTGCTCATACCTTACCCAGAGCAAGGAATCAGAGACCAGGAAACAGAAATGGTAGGATAGACAGCCACACACCATTTAATATGAACTGAGCCCACACAAGATTACAGAGAAACCAAGGCACTCTTCCTGAATCCCACAGCTGCCATGAAGCCTGCAAGCCATATTGTTGTGGCATCTTTTGAGAACTGAAAGTCAGATTTATTCCTGGAGAGTGAAGAATAGCGTGCAATTCACTCGGTAAAGATAAATTGCAAGTGTCTTCAGAATCCTTAAAAACTCCACATTGTGGGTGATTTTCCCTTGAAAGAGGTCACCAAGTACCTGATGGGGGCTCATCCTGGTTGCCATTCCAGCTTTTGCTCCATGTACACCTGTGTAATACCAGTGCGGGTGTCACTGTGGAGTGGGGGCAGGAACAGTATTTCCTAAGATACTCCCAAAGTTCCTGCCATGTGTGACATGATTTTCATTCTACTTCTTTCATAGAAAAGTCTATAAAAGATGAATTTCAGAATTGTGAAATATCAAAAATCCAAGACCCTTCTTTGCTTGGTTTGTGAATAGCATTTGCCATTGCTGAAGCTGTATGGACAGGTGGGGAAAGGCATGCAATACAGCTTTGCAAGGAAATGCAAAAGTGAAGAAGCTCAGACGGCACTGAGCATGGAGGCAGGAGATGGAGGTGGGGAAGGTGGGAAAGACAGACAATTTGAGGAAGAAAGTCAGTAAATGAGAGGGTCCCAGAAAAAAAGCAGTAGAAGGAGGCTTCAAGGGATCCTGTGACTTTTCTTAAACTGTTGGTGTTGGGGACAAGTGTTTATTAATATAATGTGTAATATGAAGCAGTAACCATTAAGGTTATTAATAGAATAGGAGAAAATATAAAAAGACAAGAGAATTTGCAGATTAAAAAGGAAATACATTAAAGCCACATTTCATCAGCTCCATGGGAAGAAGTCAGAAGAGCAAAGGGGTGTCAGAAAACTGACAACAGGAAGTGAGAAGGAGCCCCTCCCCTGGGCAAAAGCAGCAGAGCAGTAAGAGGAAGTGCAATTGCAAGAAGGAGGATAGTAAAAGGGACAGAGAGGAATAACGGCAAAGGCAAGGCAAGCAGGAGGAGACAGCTTTGGCAAGGGAAGGTCCCCAATACAAGCCCATCTACCACCACAGTCCTCTGAGCATCTGTGAGCCTCCGTTTTCTCATTTAGTGTCAAATGCAACAAAACACACTTCACAGAATGTCTTTGAGGGTTGAATGAAAGATTGCTAAAGACAGAATTACAAAGGCGTGAAGTAAAAAGGACAGTGAAAAGCAGAAAAAGGAGGCACCCTGTGTAAAACGGTTAATTTAAAGATTTATGAGAAAGATAAAGGAAACTGTTGTTGCCTTGCTTGAAGGAAGGAAGGAGAATAGGTGACATTTGTAGCATCATTTACAGAAGAGGACATTTGAATAGATGATCCATAGAATAAGCAGACTGAAAAACAGATCCAAAAGAAAGGAAAGGAACTCAGCTGGAGAAAACCGAAAGGGAGTAAGGAGTTGGCCACCAGCAGCCTCCAGTTAAAGGCAGAGGTGATCACAATCACTCTTGAAATTTCAGTGATGTGAAAAGTTGGATGAAAAACTTGAAATTTCAATGATGGGAAAAGGTAGGTAAAAACTTGCTAATGATAGAACACTGGATGTCTATAGAATATTCTGAAATGCTATGAGCCATTATTACCAGTGGAGTCATTCAGTTTTAGACAAACCTAATTTCCACAGGCAGAACAGATAGTAATGAATAAATTGAAGGGAGTGGTAGAAAACTGTTACAATGAACAGATCAGATAGTATTATTTTTCTGATGGGGGGTGTTTTCCAGAATGAGGAAAGTAATGGTTTCACATCTCATTGCTTCACATAGTTTGAAGGAACACTTTAGAACTGTGTAGAAATAGTTGCTTAGAGAAAGAAAGAAACGGGTATCAGAAAAATAAGGCTGAGTCCAGGCTATTGCCCTGATTCAGTCGCCATGTTCTCTAGGTCTGAGTAAGAGGAAACAACGATTCTAAATGCAACTTATAGAATTGAAGTTAGATCTCCAGGAGAGCTTCCAGCCATGAAGAATTTGGTTATCTGAAAAATGTATTCAATGCTATAATAAATAGTTTGTTTCTTCTGCAAAAGTCACTCTAAAAATGGGAGAAATACCAGTTCTCTGAAGTGGCTGCCTAAAACTGCTTAAAACAGAGGGTATACTCCCTTAAAGCAACCTCAAATGTATTCACTTAGCCATGGCCACATACTAGACAAGTGGAAACAGGTTGAGATTTCTTCTGACAACTTGGCCAGTGACTCTTAAAAATGTTTCATGAATGCATTACTATTAACTTCATTATTTTTTAAGTGTTACGTATAGGAATTATGTGAGGACCACCATCTAAAGAGAAAAGTTATTTTTGTATAAAAAATTTTTGCTTTTTTTCATCCTTTATTCAATAATTCTTACATTTCTCCTTCTTTGTAATGTAAAATGTCCATTGCATACTTGCTCTCCCTTTGCCTATATACGTCCATGTCTCAAAATTGACCAAGGACCCTGAAGTTCTAGATTGCTAAATATGAACACAGGTCTTGAGGTGCATCCCTCAAACTAAGAGGGGGGAATTCATTGAGAATCGGTTGGTTCTAGAATTGAGACCATCTGTAATAATGGAGGAGTCCTCTACCCTCCAAAGTTCCCTCCCTGTGAATGTAACCATAGATGCCCAGAAGGGATGAGACATAGCACACTGAAACAGGAAAGAGGAAGAGAACAGAGATAGAGAAGGATTACAAGCAAGAAAAAAAAAAAAAAAAAGATGGCCTCCCTGAGATGGATAACTTGAAAAATTAGGTCTTCAATAGAATCCAAGGGAAAAACCAGGGCCAAAGCATAATAATGACTAATACTGAATTGGAAAGGTGATTTATCAGCAGGTTGAATCACAGAAAGGCAGAGACTTTTGATTGATAGTAAGTTAACAAAACTTAGCAAACAGCTTGGCTCTGTGAATGGGTGATTATGTAGTAGTCACTCTTATGCAGAGGGTAATTCTAAAGTTGGGGTGGGTTGTAATGTATGGGCTGATGATGTATACTTATAGTGACCTCATCACAACTTACAATGTGCTTATTTGTCCCTGCTGACAAACATTGCCAGCTTACAAAGTTGGAAGGTGATGATCAGTATTCATTGGTTATTTTTCTTAGGACGTAGTTACTAGAGTGGCAGTCACCACTTAATGTGTCAGTGTGCAATGATCTGCATACCTGAAACTGAAGCTGAGTTAGCACACATTGCCACTGAGTTCAGTTGAGTTAGCACACATTGCCACTGAGTTCAGTTGAGTTGGCACACATTGCCACTGAGTAGTGTGACCAAGGTGTGATACACTGTGGCAAAGAAGAAAAAAAAAGTAGAAACAAATTATATTTATCTCCTGAAACCCCGGGGGGGGGGAATGACTCTGGGATACAACATTTTGATTAC